AAAAAAAAAAAAAAAAAAAAAAAAAAAAAGAACAAAAACAGGAGGGCCCTAGGATGTACCTCAGCAGTGCACCACCTGCCTGGCAAGCCTGGCAAGTTTGAGGCCTTAGTTTGATTCCTGGTACCAAAAGTAATAAAAAAGTGAAAAACAAAACACTGAGACTGGATTGTAGGTCCTCAGTGGGGGCCCTCGGAGAGGTTGAGGTTACCAGCATGCTTCAAGAGGCCTAGTCCTGGGGCTGTAGACAAATTCTCCCTTCGCTGGAGCAGGGCTTGCTATTGACATCTGCCTGAGTGTGCAGACAGGTCAAGTTCATTATGGTGGTTCTTCCTGGGCTGGGGACTGTCAGTAACTGCACTCAGGTCGGGAGGCCGAATGTTGTGGCTGAGGGTCAGTGGGCCGTGCACAGAAGAGGTAAGGCTAGCCCATAGGACACTGAGCAGCTGTGAAAAAGGGGCTAGCGGTGCAGCTCAGCTTTATGGTGCTTGGGTTTCATCCCTAGGACAAAAATTTAAAAAGGTACAGAAAAGTTGTACCTGGGTCCACAGGATGGTATGAGGGAGGTTGCCTGAGGTAGGGCCACTGGCCTCACCCCACCCCCACCAAAGCCCAGCAGCTCCGAGCTCCCCCTGTTGCTGTCCTTCAAGGAGCTCTAAAGTGACCTTTTTCAAAAGGATGGTCAGATTACAGGACATCACTAGACAGCGCCTCCAACTAGAGCAGAGGCCCCTGGATACTGTAGTCCTGCAGGCCCACAGGGTAGGAGAAACTCAAGCATTCCCCACACTCATGACATTAGCAGATGGTACTGCCATCTCATGATTCACCTGCTGGGTAGGTGACTGAGGCCTTTTCTTACCCCTCCTCTCACCTGGGGCAAACGCAGAGGTTTTTTTTCTTTTTTCTGAAATAGGGTCTTGCTATGTCATCAAGGTTGGGCTTGAACACTGTAGCCCAAACTGGCAACTCAAGATCTTCTGACCTCAACCTCCCTAGTGCTAGGATTACAGTATGGACCACCACATCTGGGTTGGGAAAGGGGTTAGTGGTCCAGGGTTTGCAGCTGAGACCTCATAAAATAAGCTGTATTCTGTACCTTTCTAACGTGTATGTGACCTGGCTGCTTTAGGCTCTTCTTTTCAAGGCTTTGAGCCCTTAATCACTGTTCATGACTAGGTCCCAGTACTGACTTGTGTGATCTCAGGGTAATTTCACCTGAGCTTTGGTCTCCCATTAAGTTTACTAATTATTTATTTTTTTGGTACTGGGGATTGAACTCAGGATCTTGCACTTGTGAGGCAGGCAGCAGCACCAGAGCTAAATCCCTGGACCCAACTATTTTGAGGGTCTTGCTCTGTATTTTAGGCTGGCTTTGAATAATGTAGCCCAGCCTGGACTTAAAAAATCACAGCTCCTGCCTCAGTCTCCCAAGTGCTGAAATTACAGGTGTGTGCCATCACATCCAGTCTCCATTAAATTTATACTCAAATGAGACTATATAAACCCTGCGCATCCAGCTGTTTTTTTTTTTTTTTTTTTTTTTTTTTTTGGTACGGGGAATCAAATTCAGGCCCTGGTGCTTTCAAGGCAGGCACCAGAAGCCCCGAGCTAACTCTCCAGCCCTGCTGCCTCTTAATATTGTGGGACAGACTCTGGATTTTTGCTTTTTTGAGCAAATGGACCCCAGGACCTTGAGTTGTTTCAACAGCTGCCTGGGTTACCCAGGGTGGCAGAACTGTTGAGACTTGGCTGTTCTGCCACAGGGCCAAGGAGGCAGATCAGAGGCCTCACAGCTGCAGGATGCTACTGAGCCTGGTTCCTGGACCAACAGGCTGTTTCTGAGAACTTTTGAGTCGTAGCAGACCGCCTCCTGGCCCTGGAATCACCAGCTCCATGTGAGCCAATCAGCAAGCTCTACTCTACCCTTACCCACAGATTCATTGCCTGCTGGTGCTTCTTGGGGCCAGGTTTCCAAACACAGACCAGGAAGGAAATACTGAAAGATGCCTACCCAGATATAGTGGGAATCAACAACTTTTTTGTACCTTTTTAATTTTTGCCCTTGTTAGGGATGAAACCCAAGCACCCTAATGCTGAGCTGCACCCCTAACCCTTTTCCATTTTTACTCTTTATATTGTATTTCCACAAATAAATGCCTGGCAGCCATCTCTTCCACTTCCTAACTCCATCTCCCGCCTCCACTTCTAGGCCACACCACACCCTCTAACCAAGAACCTATCCTCTGGTGTGGACCTGCCTCTAAGGTGACCCTGGCTGGCAATCTCCTGGAAGGGTTGCTAGAGTTCAGAGTTCTTACGAGATAAATCTTACCTCTCACCCAGTCTCTGTACACCCAGACTTGCATACTGCCCCCTACTGCCTGTCCTAATGCTATCTCCAGACAAGTTAACCCCACCCCTTTCCAGGCACCAGCCCCTCTTGCAGTCACTTCAGCACCTACCTCCTGCATTACAGGCTCTTGGCCAGCTGTCCTGGCCTCATCTAGGAGCTATTTGTGCTTTTGACGGTTTCCTGCAGTTCCCCCCCTCCACTCTGCAGTTCAGGGTGACCTTGAAATCCTCTTGCCTGTTTCTGGAGTGCTGGGATTACAGGTACGCACCACCCACTGGCCCTTCCAACCAGCTTTCTTGTGCGTTTTCAGTGTCTTGCCAACAGCCCCTACTTGACTGTCTCCAGGATCTTCGCCCTAGCAGCACCCCACCATCCCTCCTCCATCCTGCATGCCCCAGCCCAGCTTGTCAAACAGAAGCTTAAGCTTGCCTACTGCCTCTCAATTTCTTCTACTGCCCCACCTCTATATACGTTTATTTTAATAAATACTGAAAACACATTTTTCCACCTGCACAAACAACTTATCTAAGTCCAACTAAGTTTCTAACCAGAAACCCAGCCTCCCTGTCTAGACCAATCTTGGGTTTCTACCGAGCATTTGGCTGGGTCTCAGTAACAGAGTCCTCATGTTGACCTTTACAAACTGGCAAGGCCCCACCAAGCTGAGGGGTGGGGACACTGCCACAGCAGCACAAATTGGATGGGGCAGGGTGGCCCCTAACAACAGGATGCAGGCTTTTCCCCCATAGCTCCTGTCACAATGAGATGAAGGTCTTTATCACACCCAAGGCCATGGGGGGTTCATGCAGCAACCCCCCCACACAGGTACTTAACTACATCTCTAACGGCTTCCATTTCAGAGCCCCAGGCAACTTGGAGACCCAAAGCCTTCTCTACCTTATTACTCTACAAAACCTAAGAAAAGCATCCAGAGAACAGAGAGGGAAGCAGCATAGGAATGGAGTTGGCCCCAGGGGAGAGACAGAGGAGATAGCTACACTACGGTTAAGTCATTTATTGATTTTATTTCTAAAACCCACATAGCGCCACTTTGCTGTTTCCAGAGCTTCAAAGAGCTAATTAACCGCCCAATGAGCCCACCAGGGAAACCAAGCTTGTGGGGAAAGCAATGATGTGAAGCCAAGGTCAAAGAGGGTAGCCAGGGCCCCAATCACTGCCCACACCCACACCAGTTAACACAAAAGGAAGTCTCCCTCCATCATCCCCTTTCAGTTTAGATTGGTTAGGAACCCCACCAAACCTGCCTTGCCTCTGAGGGTTCTTTAAGCCCGCAGCCCACAAGCATGCTGGGTAGGGCCCAGGCACCCAGGCTGGTCTCCAACTAAACAGTAGCCAACCCCTTGCTCAGAGCTGGAAAGCAGCCCAAGCCAGAGTTGCTGTCCCTAGTGGCCAGGTGCCAGTGGCCACAGGAGCCTGCTGTCCCTCCGCTTCCCTGAAGAAAGCAAAGCCAGGCAGGAAGGTGCAGCTCTATAGTAGATCTTTCCAGGGACAACACAGCCAAGCAACACCAGCTCGAGATACCCAAAGACCTTATAAACTCAGACATAACATGGATTTCTGTTGTCACCATAGGTACTATTGCCCAAGACAAAGAAAAAGCAGACAGCCTAAGAACCTTTTTAAAGTGCTTACAAAGCTACAAGGTGGGCAACTGTATCTCACTCCCACCTCCCCACAGCCTGCAGTGCTGGCAAGCTGCAGGTCACCAGCAGAGAAAGAAAAAAGCCACTTGATGGTTTTAATTTTAGCTGCTCTGTGCCCGACAGGCAGGATTAGTTAGCTTGACCTTTAGTGTTGATGCCTCCTCAGGCTCAGGACCTTAGTCAGGTGGCAGCTTACAGGCACAAATCACAACTGGAGCTCATCAAAATGAGGGGGTCCAAGCCCTGGGCAAAGGCTTTCAAAAGGTCAGAGACAAAGGAAATGAGGGGTAACCAAGGAGGGGGGAGAACCTGGTTGTCAGCTACATAAACTAGAAACAAGATGACGGTGACAGATCTCTACAGTGCTAAGCTTCCAACCCAGCCCACAAAGGGAGACAGCAGGCTTACTTGACTAATGTCCCATGGCTTTGCCCCACAGAGACCAGAGGCCAAGTACCCAACACAAGGTACAGTAAATGCTGGTGGCTACTATGGGTAGTGGTAAGGGTGGTTTAGAAGTAAAAAAAGAAACAGACCCAGAAAAACCACACTGCTCTTTTATTCAATGGAACACCCCCCCCATTTAGTGCAGTGTTGAATCAAACACCGAAAAAAAAGCCCAGAGAAATTTCTGTAGATAAACCAGTTAAGAGAACGTGTGTTACACATCATTAACATAATCACTCCATGAGGGGTGGGGAGCAGAAAGAGGAATAAGGGGCTCAAACCCCTTGACACTGCAAAACATTCAGACATTTGGGATTAAAACAAAATGAAAAAGGAAGCTTTCAAGGAAGGTGAGTGGAACAAATGGAATCTGTGGCAGCTTAGGTGGTCAAAGCACAGGAACAACTCTAGGCTGACAGGGCCAAAGTGGCTTGGGCTGTACCATCTACTGCAGGCAGGAGTGCAGGATGGATGCAGGTGCTGGAGATTAACCAGCCATGGGCAACTTCAACAAGAGTGACAGAGACAAACTTCATACTTTAAAAGACAACATCTTTGGGGTGGCTATGGTCCCTGGACAAACTGAGAACCAAAGGACACCACCTGCCCATGAGGCCTGACATTAATGCCACCTGTGACTGAAACCATTTGTTCCCCTCTCCTTGGCAGGGGTAGAAGAATGGAGTGAAGGGAAAGTATTCTAATTGCAGCAGAAGACCGGGGAAAGCATCTCCTTGGGCAGAGTCTGAAGAAAGGAAGAGATAAGAAAGTAACAAAGGAAAAAGAAAAAAATTAATTAAAAATTTCACGATATGGAGCCAGTGCGTTCCGATTCCGTCCACAAAAATAACTCAGGCTGCTTTGCCGAACCATCCTGTCCACCAGGGGCGCTGCTGAGGCTGTCTGCCTGGAAGGGTCACCAATGGGCGCGGAAAGTCCTCACTCTCATGGCTCTGGCCATCGCCGCCGCGGGGAGGGATCCTGGCGGCCCAGTTTGGGGAGAGGCAAAGGGATTTGGGTGAGGAGAGAAAGAAGACAAAGACACTCGATGCTACGGGGCGCCAGGAGAGCCCAAACTGGCGCCCCTACTACCACCTGCCCATTTCCCAAGCGAGTCCTCAGCCGCTTGGCCCAGCCCGGTGCGTGAACACACACACATGCGTGCACACACAATCACATGCGTGCATCCCAATGTCTGGCTCCATATGGTGAGGTTCGGCGTGTTTAAATGAGACCAATTCTTTCTATATAATATATATTTTCTTAAAAAAACGAGTCTAGTTCTGTGGTGGAGGCGGTGGGGGAGCTGGAGGCATCCCGAAGGGTGGCATGCCCGCCACCCCCATGCCCATCATGGTGACAAAGTTAGAAGGGTCCATGGGAGGCGGAGGAGGGGGGGGCGGGGCATACATCATGCCGGCGGAACCAGGTGGTGGAGGCGGCGGAGGGGGAGGGGCCCCGGGCGGCAGAGGCGGCTGGACCCCGGGGGGCAGGGGCACCATAGTGGGGTTGCCTTGCATCTGAGGGGCTCCTGGAGAAGCTGCGGCAGCCGCCTGCTGCTGTTGCCATGGCGGGATGGACCCTGTGCCAGCGCTCGTGGTGGT